GATAGATAGATAGATAGATAGATAGATAGATAGATAGATAGATAGATGGATGGATAGATTATAGATAGAACAACAATAACATAACAAAATCTCCTAGGAGACTGGTGAGATGTAACTGTGGGTGTGTCTGTGTGCTTCCAGAGAGAGCTGACTGAGGGAAGCATCCAGAGGGATGGTGGTACTTCCCCTGACAGAATTAAGGGGGGAGGGGTGCGAGAAAGCCAGCAGAGAACCGGCTTTCCCTACTCACTGCTTCCCCTTCTCCAAGAACTGAGACCTCCCCACCACGTGCTCCGTGATGCTCTGCTCAAGTGCATGAGGCCAGGCAACTGTGGCCACCCTCTGAAATGTGAGCAGAACAACCCTCTCCTCCCCCAAGTTTTCTCCGTCAGGCACTTTGTCACAGCACCAAGAAAGTCAACGCCAGTCTCCCCTCTAACTCCTCTGCCAGCCCCGAGGAGATCCGGGACCGCCAGCCCCTCTAGCCGCTTCTACCCAAGGCTTTATGACTGAGGACACCATCTCTCTGCTCAGGAGTCAGTCCCAAGTCTGTCTCCCCAGCCTCGGTGGGCTCCCTGGACTCTAGAATCTTCTAGCCATCCCTGGTTTGGAATCTCACTTGAACATCAAGCACACGTTACAAATTCGAGGCCCCCGGAAGTGCTCAGCTTTCTCCCTTGTCCTGCAGCTCACTTGACGGCCCCGCTACCTGCCTGCCTTTCCCCACTGTCTGCACTGCTTTCCTCGCTGTGACAAGATACCCGAGGAAGCAACTAAGTGGAGGAGGTTTGTTTCGGCTTACACTTCGAGCGGATTTGGTTCACCATGGCAGGGGAGGTACACGAGGCAGCTGGTCACAGCACAGCCACAGCCACAGGCGGGGCGAGAGCGATGGCCGCTCAGCTCACTGTCTCCTTTAATGTAGTAGGAGCTGCCTGCCCACGAGCTGGTGTCGCACACATTTAGCTCGGGTCTTCCCTCCCTCGTTTAGCCTCATCTAGATAATGCCTTACGGGGCATGGCCAGAGGCTTGTGGCAGGTGGTGCTGGAGCCTGTCGAGGTGCCGATCATCACATCAACCTCCAGCAACAAGAACAAAGGAGACATGTCCCCAAATCGGGGCATTCTCTCTCCCATTGCCAGATAACAGTGCAAGTGTCCCCCACAGACTCTCTGGCTCCCCCTCCTGTCCATTCGGCAGGCAGGGCACTCAGAGAGCTAGAAGCAGGGCTCTGAAGGAAGTAGAGTGGCTTCTCACCCTAACTAACTAAAGGCCAGCTGCATCACCAGTCTCTGTCACACCGTAAGTGCTTGGTAAACACTTTTCAACTGCAGCTGTGCCGCGGTCACACAAAGGTTGCTGACACAAGGCAAACCCAGTCAGGAGAAAGCATGTGTCTACAGTCCGTCTCCTCATGCAGCCCCTCTAGACTCACAGGGAAGATCTGGAACTCAGTCTGTGAAGACTGTTCCGCTGCCCGGAACTTGGGGCCCATGGTGGGGCCACCTCCTTCCTCATCATCCTCGGCAGCTTCCATCTCTTGAGTCCTCAGCTCATTTTCAGCACCAGAGTCCAATCCCTGCAGGAGGACATTGGTGACGTCAAGGTTTGCTCTCTGCCATCACCTTCACCACCCCACCAGCTGGCCCAGCACCATCCACTTCCTGCCAACCTGCAAGACAGTGGCATTTCGTCCGATAGTCACAGTGGTGGTGACGGCCGAAGGTGGAGGGGTCGGAGGCGGCTGGGGAGCCGCCGTCTCAGCCATGTGGAGGGAGGTCTGCAGCAGGAATGGAAGGCGTGTCAGATTGGGGATGAGGCCAGTCAAAACAGAAGGAAACAAAAGAGGAGCCAGGTCTCTCCCTTAGGGAGTTCCCAGTTCGGGGGCAAGGCGTGGACAGACAGAGGCAGCTTCCCATCAAGCGCAGAGGCTGGCGTGGAGAAAGGCAACTGGTCTAAGGTGGCCAGAGTGGTAACGTCCCTGCATACAGGAGGAGCAGGAAGGGCCAAGTCTCCCAGGCCTGGGAGCAGAACTGGATGAGCTCCAGGGGCCCGGTGGTAAAAGTCAAGAGCCAGCACGCAGGGCCAGACTCCCGGAAGCCCAGCCCCGCATGTCTTCTTCCCTGACAGCTTAGCAGTCAGGGAAGCCAGCCTGGCTGCAGCTTCTCCAGCCTGGACAGCTGCGGGAGAACTGGGTCAAGGCAGAGAAAGGAACCACAGGGGCGTAGGTCAGAACCAGGGACTGGCGAGGGCGTGCTGCTCTCGGTATTCATGCTATGGGCTAGAAAGATCCGGAACTGTAGTTACAACCGGTGACCCCTACAACCAAGGACTTCAAGCGATGACCCAGCCAATGACTTAGGACCCCTTACAAGCACCAATGACTGCTAAGTGAGCTCTGCATCACGATTCCTGCCAATGGCTCTAAACAGAGAGCCTTCCACCTGGGGACCCTACTGTGACCCCAAGCAGAGGCATCTCGTGATGGGGGAGGGGCATTGGCCGCTCATCTGAGATTCCAGCCCCTCACTCCCAGCTATCTATCATTCTGCCCAGGCTGCACATGGTCTCCCGGGCTCTGCAAAGGCAGGAGTCCTGAGTGTGAAAGGCTAACTGAAGGAGCCCTCCATTTGGGCAGCATGCTTGGGGTGGCCGCTTAGGGGGGACCCACGCCCCAGTTTGTAACCCTTTGCATTAGCTCTCTGCAAGCACACCCAGTCAACTCATTGGTTTCCCAGGCTAGATCTGAGTGAAATCATGCCTTGGTTGGCCATTATTGCCCTATCTATTGTTCACGTCTCCCCAGGAAAAGCTCACACACAACAGTGAACGCCAAAAACACCAGCAGTGAGCTTTATCAATGGCCTCCTAGGGGACGCCTACAAGTGGGAACTGTTGGGGGATAATTTAAATAATGATGATTAGGAGCACAGCAGATCTTGTATGAAAGGGGTTTATTAGATGGAGATGAAGAGAGAGAGAGAGAGAAGGAAGAGCAGGACATGATGCAGCGGGGAAGAGAGAGGGGACACCCCAATAGAAAAAGGGGAGAGGGTCAAGAGGGCAAGAGGGGGAGCAAGAGGCAAGAGGCCAGGAGCAAGAGGAAGAGCAAGAGACCAAGAGGAAACCAGATGGCAGGCTGGTCCCTTTAAGGAGGAAGGTAACCAGGTCTTCCAGGTGTGGCCACCCGGCTGGCAACATGATGACATCATAGGTTGCTAGGCAACCAAGAAGCAGGTTTCTTAAATACTAACATTCCTCCCTTTTTCTATAATTAAAAAATGAGGAACTTGGGCTGCTTCTCATGTAAGACAAGTCAAAGTACATACGGTCGGTCAAGAGGAGGGGAAGCCTCTGCCCTGGAAAATTTAGGGTAGAGGGTTGTCAGTAGAGAGTTGCCAGCCATGCAAGGCAGGCAGCAGGTAGGGACTGAGGAACGCTGGGAGAACCTGGAGTTGCTTGGCCTGGCCCTGAAGCTCACCATGTATGTCACTCCTGAAGGTGAACGCTCAAAGAGGATGAGCTTTCCTGATGGGGTGCGGGAGGACCTGTGCCCACCAGTGGCCCCCAGCAGTGAACCCCACACACTGACACAATAACCAATGCACCTGCAGCCAGTTACCCCAGCTGGTGAGTCCCTCATTAAGACTCATCATGGCCCTTCTAATCATCAGATCCTCTTGTGTTCAGAGGTGCCTTCTCTAGCTCCTGATGGGTACGGAGTGACCCTGAGAGCCCCTGACACAGGACCTGGCATCCCCTCTGGCTGAGAGGAGTCAGATTCTGAGGACCAATGCAGAAAAAGAGGGACCAGAGATGGGGGCATCAGGCAGCAAAGAGCAAAGCGAGACCTCCCAGGTTCTTACCTGATTCTCAGGAGCACCAGCCGTTGGATCCAGACTTGAGGTCTCCTTGTTTTTGTTTTTCTTTCTCCCCTTGCCCTTGCGACCCCGCCCTTTTTTCTTTCCTTTGCCCTTTCGACGAGGGGCAGTTGTTTCTGGTTCGTCTCTGGGGGCCTGAGGAGAGGGTTCTAGTTAGGGTTAGAGTCTCTCACCATCGGATATGCCATCACTTGGGTCTGGCACGGTCCGTAACTGTGTGTAAGTGTGCGTGTGCGTGCGTGTGCGTGTGCGTGTGTGTGTGTGTGTGTGTGTGTGTGTGCACCTCCTCATGGAAGCCAGAGGGCAGTTTCAGGCACCGTCCACCTCTTTTGGCTGTTGTTGAGACAGAGTAATGGCCTGGAGCTCACCAACCAGCCAGTGAACCCCAGGGACCCACGTGCCTCTGCCTTCCCAAGCACTGGGATTAGAAATGTGCCACCATGTCCAGCTGCTCCACGCAGGCTCCGGGGGTCAAACAGGTCCTGGTACTTTAAAGTGAAGGCCCTTTCCTGACTGAGCCATCTCCCCGTCCCCAGACGGATCCTTTCGTTGTTGATATTTTGAGGACAGGATTTTGCTACGTAGCCTAGGTTGACCTCAAAGTCCTCTCACATCTATCTGCCTCCCGAGTACAGAGCTGACAGAGATGTGCCTCACACCTGGCTTGTCCTGGCACTGGAGGTTAAGATCGGGGATCTGCCCTGCGTTTGGGGTCTGAAGTGGCCCGCCTCCTCGTTTCTGGGTCATCACCTGCTCTTTCTTGACACCTAGAGCCAGGGAGGCCTCACCCGGAACAGCCACCCGGAACAGCTCACTCACCCCTGTGGTTGTGGACTCCAGGCTCTCACAGCCAGGGAGGTAGCGCTCACAGGCCTGGAAGGCAGCCTGAGGGTCTGGAATTAACAGCAGCTCCTGGATGTCTCCCTAGACAGGAGGAAAGGAGCCACAGGATGATTCTGGCCCTAGTTTCCCAGTGTATCTCTGCCCCGCTCCTGACAGGGAGCCGTGGTGCTTCCCACCCGGAGCGCCCTAGGGCGGGGAAGGCCTGTGGCCTCCACACCTGTAACTGAGAGAAGCAAAGAGCTCACCAGCCTCATGACACACGGCAGAACACACACCCAGTGTGCTGGTCAACCTTGCCAGCTCTTAAAACTTGCATCGGCTTATTTAAAGCGTGCGGCTGCACACACAGAACTGCCAGCTCACGCCCGTGTGGAGCCGAGGGGATAGCCTGCAGGATTTCATTCTCGCCTCCCACCACATACATTGCAGGTCCCAGATCAGGTCACCGGGCTTAGCAGCAAGCACCGTTACTGACTGAGCCGGCCCCTGATAGCCAACTTGACCGGATCTACATTTACCTAAGGCTCTGGGCACACCTGTGAGCGACTGTGTACGTTAAGTGCCTTCATGCTTCTGTCTTGAAGCAGCGGTGAAAAACATAGTAATAATACACTCAGCATCTGCCCCCTGAGGCTCAGGGTCCCCTTCCTCTCCGGTCACCTCCGTGTGCCGGGTACCAGACACCAGGTGGCTCACTGGAGAGATGAGTTTTCTAGTCTCCTGGAGGGTTCACACCCCCAAATCACACTGTATAACCTCCGCACCAACCGGAGCCACACAGAGCTGCCGCATCTGCCACACAGACGCTCGCCATACGGCCAGACACTATCCTGACCACGGGCACGTGCGCACGGCCTCCTGCGCTGTCTCAGTCACAGAGTTTACCCCAGCAGGGACCCAGTCTACGCGCGTGCATGCTGAGCTGATAATCCAGATTTCCTGACGCTCTCTGGTGCGGAGCTCCCTTCCGCCTCTGTTCTCTTCTGGTTTAGGCTGAGGAAAGAGCTCCCCTCCCTCCGCCTCAGTTTCCCCTGCCACTGAATTCTATACCTCAAAAGTATCCTCCCCGCTGTCCTGGGTTCCCATCACGGTGAGTCCAGCTGTACTGATAAACCGAGGCCCCTGACCAAATACGGGGGCCTGAGGTTCACAGTCAGCCACCGGGGTCACCACGCCACCACTGATGCTGACGGCCACGCGGTGCCACCTGCAACAGGAAACAAGTCTCAGTGCCCGGATGTCCTCGGGGCACCCCTCCCCCTTTCTCATACTCACCTGCCATCCATAAGGTTGACCTGCTTGGGGAGGGACCTGAAGGAGTCACCAAGGAGTCCCAGAGCCGGCCCCAGTGACAGCCCCAGCTGCCGGACGCCCTTCTCATCATAAATAGATAGAAGGACAGAGGCATTGGCTGGCTGGCCCCGCAGAGTGAGCAGCACAGAAAAGTTCTCAGGAAAATGCCCATCTGTGTGGGCAGAGGCAAAGGGATCGGGTTAGACAGCCCTGCTGACTCCACCCGTCCAGGATGAGCCCCCGCCCCAGCATTCCTGCCCCGACTCACCCGGAAAGAGCTGCCATGTGGGGACACTGAGCGGGCTGGCTTTGCCCACCCTGAAGGCGCGGTCGCCCTGTGGAATCCTCTGGGGGCAGAAGCCAGGCCCCTCGGCAATCCCAGCCTGGCCCCCACGCACACCCCAGGCTTTCAGCACATCCACAGGCTCCACTATAGAGAGACAGCAGGGTGAGGAGGCGCGCTCAGAACCTGCTGGTTGCCCTGCCCCCAATCCTGATAGCTACACAGTGAGTTCAGGGCCAGCCTGAACAACTTAATGAGACTGTCTAGAACATCGAGAAGTTTAACAACATCAACAAAAAAGCCCCAAACTCCACAACTCTTGCTCCGGTGTAGGGGTCTCCTCTCCTCACATGTGTGTCAACAGTCCGGGAAGAACTGGGCGGCCCGGGACCAGCAGCACCTCCCCCACTTCCCAACAGATGTTCCTGGTACATCAATCTGTTGACTGTGTTTTTTCCCCCCTAAGTTTTTGGTGAGAAAAAAAAAAAAAAAAAAAGCTGACCTAGTTCTAGGATGAATCAAAGCTTCCTGGCTGGAACCCCAGAGCCAAGCCTTCCCCTCTCCCTACGCCCCCACACTGGTTCCTTGGGCAGATTCCCAGCATGGAGCCCCCTTGCAAGGAAAAACCCACGGCGGGAAAGGGGTGTAAGGGTGCACTCTTCTCAGACCCCATAGCCTCCTCCCTCTGACCCCCGGCCCCACGGCCCCCTCCCTCGGACTCGCAAGCTCCACAACCTTCTTCTCATTCTCTCTTCTAACTCTTCCCTGACTTTTCCGCCTGACTCCCCGTCTAATGTCCACCCTGACCTCTTCCTTTATCTTTCCCATGATCCTCCATATCACCCAGACAGGTATTATCACCTCTGACCATCTATTTCTGATAACCCCCTGATCCTCTCCCTCTCTCATCTCACAAAGGAAAGAATAGGTCTAGCCCTACAGGCCCCTAAGCCAAGCCATCCTTGCAGCCCCACCCAGGCAGCTTGGCCAGCTTTAACTGGATCCACATGGTCTGGGCAGGGCGGGTGAAGGCTTCCCCTGGGCCGAAAGCCCCTGGCCTGTCCTCTCCCCCAGCAAACTGTCCCACTAACCCCCTGACCCAGACTCTTGGCAGGAGTCAGGTTCTGCTCAGTCTGCCATGACCTCACTCCAGGGTGGCTCAGCTAACCTTGCCACTGAGAACTGGGTTGGGGGGCGAGGCTTGGAGAGGCATGAACTTGGGTGAAGACCCCACGCCAGCCACCCCCTTTCCCCTCCAGACTTTGTAGAGCCCTGTTCAGGTCCCTGTACCTCACTCCTGACCGGTGTGCCTTTCCTCTGTCCCACTTCATGGCTCAGGTCTGAAGTCAGACAGTCGACAATCAATCTTGCTCTCTTGACATCCTCTCCTCCCCGCACCACCCCCTTCCTACCATCTGTAACTGTCTCTTCAGTGGCCAGGCTGTCATTAAGAAGTATGTGGGGGCTGAAGAGATGGCTCAGTGGTTAAGAGCACTAGCTGCTCTTCCAGAGGACCTGGGTTCAATTCCTGGTACTCACATGGCCGCTCACAACTATCTGTAACTCATGTTCCAGGGGATCCGACACCTTCTCACAGACACACATGCAGGCAAAAACCCTAACACATGCAAAATTATAATAACATTTTTAAAAGTTTAAAAAGAAGTATTTGAGGCTGGAAAGATGACTCAGCAGGTAAGAGCACTGTCTGTTCTTTCAAAGGTCCTGAGTTCAATTCCCAGCAACCACATGGCGCCTACAACCAGCTTTAGAGAGATCTGGTGCCCTCTTCTGGCCTGCTGGCTCACATGCAGGCAGAACGCCATACAGAAATAAATAAATAAATAAATAAATAAAATCTTAAAATTAAAAAAAAAAGTATTTGATGACAGCCCCCCCTGGACTGAATTTGGGTTCTCAAGTTCTGCTACCATAAGGTCATCTCCATCAATCCCAGAAATCCCCTCCAGACTGGGAGCCCCTGGGAAGACGGAGATCTACAGTATCATCCAGGAAAGGGACTGTGCCCAGCTCAGTTTGTTTCTGTTTTTGAGACAACGTCTACTGCAGGCCAGGCTGGCCTTGCACTCTTGAACCTCTGTTACCGCCCCCAGAGTGCTGAGATTAAAGCATGCGCCACCATGCCCCATTTATGCAGCTCGAGGGTGGAACACAGGGATCCCCGCATGAGGGGACCACGTCACCAACGGCGCTACCTCCTAACACAGACCCCAGCTTCTATGTAGTAGGAAAGGGGTCTCCCCTTAGTCACTGCTCACTCCAGTTTCAAGAGTCCTTCCTGCCATCCAACCCAAAAGACTCTTGCTTCAATCTTGAGTCTTCTCTGCCCTGACCTTTTCACTGGCTGCCCTTTCTCTCTCATGGCTCCATGACAAGGAGATACACAAGAGCCATTGAGCCTGTGGGGCATACAGGAGGGGTCAGGAGCTGCCCAAACTCTCCCCCACATACACCCTCTCCCTGCCTCAGTCAAGACCTCTAGGGAGATAGACGCCTGGTGGAGCTAAGATGTGGAGGGAGGCTGGTGGGGATCCAGCTGAGTCACGGATGGAATCCCCCACAGTAAATGCACGACGTTTTGCAAGCATAGGACTTGCCACTGGATGAGGAACAGGCAGCTAATTAGATGAAAAGTTCTGAGGACCGGCAAGATGGCTCAGCGGGTAAACGCATGCCCTGAGCTTGACTGAAGGAACCCACATGTGGAAGGAGAGAGACAACCGACCCCTTCAGGTCTGAATTCCACATGTGCACCGTGCCATGCACACACACACATACAAAAGAAATAAATGGAAAAAAAAGAAAAATCCACATTTGATGCCACTGCTCACCATGAGTGGGTGCCCTGGGCAGCGAGATTTCTACACCATAAAACCGCCAACAGGCCAGACTTGCAACTGGAGATGGTGGCTTTAACCCGAAGGAGATTCTCCCACGCCATGCAAGGGAAAATATGACCAAGCCACTGAGTGGGTGACTGGTTGTGGAAGATGACAGCATTTGCCTGTGGGCCATGGGGAAGCACGAGTGAGACTCTGAAAACACAGGAGGGCCCTGTCTGGGTGGCAGATGGGGTTGCCTGGGTGTGGCCATGAGTTGCACATTCCTGGAGTCCCCGGGGTCTTGTATACTGAAGGAATGGCTGAGGTTGCATGACCCTGAGGTTGCTGTGAGCGTGGGAATGGGGCATAGGCCAACGCAGAGTTCTCAACGCTGGCCGCAACCTTCCCAGACTCAGCAGAAACCGGGAGAGTGTATGCGCCTGACCTCTGGGAGGCCATCTTCCTTTACCTCAGGGAGGTGATGGAGATCTCAGCGGCCCCGCTCACCCATCACTAGGAGGGTCGTCATGCCCTCTCACCCTTGCCACCCGCAGAACCCTGAGAGGCGTGGCCGGGGCACCAGGCCAGATGCTCACAGCTGGGCATGCATCACCGGTGACTCACCCGTCCCTTTGCCCTGGGGACCCCCTTGGGGCCCTGAGAAATTCTTTAGGAAAAATCACCCCAGGATCTTGCAGCTGGGGTGAGATGCAACTTCCACTTGGCTGCCCCTCCACCGGCGCTCAGCCCCACCCCGCCTCCTGCCTCACCCAGCCTCGCCCCTCGGTGCAGCCCTCCCGAGGGCCCTGTCCATGGTGCTGATGCCGTGGCTCTAGGGAGAGCAGAGTGGGGGAGGGGAGGGGAAAGGAAGGGTAGGTGCCAGTTTTGGGCAAAGAAGAGAGCATGGTGTGAAGTCCTTGGAAGAAGCACAAAAGGTAACTGTGTGGGTCGGTGAGACAGCTGTATCAGGCTGCTTGCTGCCAAGTCTAATAACCTGAGTTTGATTGGGGGGGGGCCCCACACGGTGGGAGGAAAGACCTGACCCTCTAAATTTGTCATCTGACTGATCTCCACACACACTCTTGTGGCACAAGTGTACACACGAGCAAGCATGTGCGTGCGTGTGCACGCACACACATACACTAGATAGATAAATGTAATTTTGAAAGAAAGCTGTGAATTCCTGATTTGGCCATTCCACTCAGCACCAAGCTCAGAACCAGCCTCTCACGCTCCCCATGGGCAATAATATAAACTCCTAAATCCCATCCACAGTCAACCAAAGACAAACACATCTGTAACACATGATTACTCTGCAAACCATCCCCTCGGGGTAAGGGGTGAAACCTGGTGAAGAGTGGTTCCCTAGCGTGCGGGGAGTCCAGGGTTCCAGCCCAGCACCTTGCGACCTGCCATCTCAGTGCTTGGAGGACAGAGGCAGAAGGATTGGAAGTTCAAAGCTACATTCCTGGGTTCCACAGTGAGTTCGAGGCCAGCCTGAGCCACATGAGACCCTATCTCATACAACAGACAAGAAAGAGAGAAGAGGGCGGAAAAGACTCACAGCTCCACAGGCACGCTGAACTCTCCCATCTGACCCACCCTTCCAGGGACTGCCCTGTCACCCACTCTTACAGTCCCAGCCAACCCTCACACCCAAGTGCACAGGTATACACAAACCCCTATAAGAAACAGTTTGTTTGTTTGTTTGTTTGTTTGTTAAGGCAAGCTGTCATATAGCCCCCTGATCTCAAATTCAGTGTGTACCTCAGACTGGCTGTCAACTCCCTATGCTCCTGCCTCTACAGTCCCAGTCCTGGGGTTTCGGGTACATTTTTTACACAGTGCTGATGATGGAACCTGGAGTTTGGTTCATGCTAGAAAAGCATGTCTGCCAGCTGAGCCACAGCCCATGCCCCGTACACCCACCATGTCCCTTTGAGAGACAGGGTCTGCTTGCGGAGACCAAGATGCCCTTGAATTCAGTACGTAGCTCAGACTAGTCTTGAACGTGCAAACCACCTAATACTGCCTCTTGAGCGTCGGGACTGCACCACACCCAGCAGCATCTGTCTTCACACACCAGCTTGTTTCCTGGCAACATCCCCCTCCTCAATCAATGGTCACATGCACACAACAGCCGGAGCTAGACCCGAGGATCTTCACATCACCGTGGCACCCATTACTAACGACCTCTCCCTTGCAGCCCCAAATGCTGTTCCAGCCTCTCCTCCCGGCTCACCAGCCAGCGTCCAGGACACGAGCTGCAGAGAGGCCAGGAGCAGGCAGAGGCCGGCGCAGGGCTGGTGCAGTCTCCGGCAACTTCTCATCCCAGCGGGGCCTGGTGCACTAAGGCCAAACGGGCTGTGGACTGGGCTGACCACCGGGAGCAGTCACTCTGGACAGCCGGAGGCTGTGAGGATCTGCAGGAGACTGTCCGAGACCCCGCCCTAGCCGCGCCCTGCGCTCCAGCGCCTTGGCCGGGAGGGGCCCGGGCCGGAGGCGGGGGGGACCCACAGCTGCACGGAGGAAAAATTTTGCGAAGTGTGAGCCACGCGCTGATTGGCTGGCTGAGGTGAGGGGCCATTCTCGCATCGTCCACCACAAGGACGATGGGCTACGCCTACCAGCCCTGGAAGGGGGGGGGGGGTTCCGGGGGCGGGAACAGCGGAGTCCCAGCCTAACGCTGGCTCCCAGACTGGCTCTCTGAAAGGCTTTGACCTCAGAGCTAGACAGAGCTCAGCACGGAGAGGCACTTGCTGACCTGAGCTCTCTGTCCCGGAACTCTCAAGATGGAAAGAGAGAACTGACACCCAAAAGTTGTCCTCTGACTTCCACCCCCATGCCATGGCAACACACGCTCCCCACCCTTTGGACACACACTAAACAAATAAATGTAAGTTTTAAACCAAAGCACACACACTAAAGGCATGCTTTTTAAATCCCAGCCTTCAGAAGGCAGAGGCAGCGGGATCTCCCTGAGTCTACACAGTGGGTGATTTCCAGGAGAGCCGGAGCTCCATAGTGAGACCCTGTCTCGGAAAACAAATCAATAAGGTGAAATAAAAGCACCCCCAGCCTTCCCTCAGACGTGGGGTTACGGTTTGGTGTAAAGCTACACCTAACCCTTGCTGTCTCAAGGCCTGCATCACCCCAAAGCCTTTGGGACCCCACTTCTTCCATAATCCTCACCCCAGAGGCCCAAACTGTCCTCGCCATTCTCTAAACCTCCATATGCCCACATGAGCCTGGAATTTGGAATTCAGTGCCTGCTACCATCCTTAAATTCTCACCATTGACTCCAAAACGCACTTCTGACTTTCCATCCGACTTCTGTGTACGTTCATGCGCTGTGCGTGCCCGTGTATGCAGCTGTATCTGGAGGCCAGACGTTGGCCATCTTCCTCTATCACTCTTCCACCTGTGTGCGTGTGTGCGTGTGTGTGTGTGTGTGTCAGGGTCTCTCGTTGAACCTGGAACTCTCCAGTTTGGCTAGGCTGCCTGGGCACCGAACCCCAGGGAGCCTCCCGCCTCTTCCTCCACAGTGACTGGATTCTAGGCAGGGGCTAGCTTTTTACGTGGGTGCTAAGCATACAAACTCAGGTCCTTGGATCCTGGTCCTCACTCCTGTACAGCAAGAACTTGAACACCTGAGTCCTCTCTCCAGCCCTCACACCGTTTCTTTTCTTTGTTTTTATGGAGTGAGGATAGAACCCAGTGCCTCCTATCCTGTGAACACTCTGCCGCTGAGCCACACCCCAGGTGTCCCTGTTAATCTCCAAGGAGAGGAACTGGGGTCCATTCCTTCTGCCTCACCTTCGATCACTTGAGGGAGGCAACCACCCCAGTCAGGGACTGCTCTGCCGATGACTGACCGGTGTAGACAGGCAGGAGCCAGGGGATTTGCCCAGGGAGGAATCAAAGCAGCGGTGTGGGTGTGTCTGTTCCTAACTGCCCCTCCTGGAGGACTATGAGGTGCCAAACTGCTCCCTCCCAGTCTGGGCTCCTTAGACAAAGGCTCTCTGTCCCTGGAGAGAAGGGGGTGGGGTCCCATGTAGCTGGAGGAGATGGGGCTCCCCAGGGTGGAGAGAAAAGAGAGAAACTCCTCTCTCCAGAGACAGCCTTCTCCAAAGAAAGGAGAAGGCTGTCACAATGTCCTAGCCATAGCCCCTTGCTAGGAAGTTCTTCTGGCAGTCTAACTGCTTTTTCTTTTAACACTTATTTATTTATCATGTGTATGTGTGCGTGCATACAGTCTTGCACAAATGTCACAGCTCCCAGGAGAGTCAGAAGACAACTTTTCAGGAAGTCTGTTCTCTCCTCCTCCGGCCATTCCAGTCCCTGGAATTGAACTCAGGTCGTTGGGCTTGGCAGCAGGTACCTCTATCCACCGAGCCATCTGGCTGCCCCTAGTCTGACTTCTTGACCTCTAACTGGCTTTTTGAGGGAAGGGGATACTGGGACAGAAGCCAGGCCGTATGCATGCTGGGCAAGGGCTCCACCTCCAACCTCTGTCTCCACTCTGCTCTGACTGACGTCTGTCAGTGGAGACTTCAGGAATCCTTTCTGTTTCTTCCTCTGCGCATCTAGACCTTTTGCAGGCAGAGTTGGTAAGAGAAGGAATACCCATTCACCCCTTAAGCTTGATGACACTTTAACAAAATACTTAGAACCACTTATAAGCCAAGCAGTGGGGTATGACCTGTGATCACAGCACCTGAGAAGCTGAAGGTCTCAAAATCAGCTCTACCTAGACTACAGAGGAAAACACGTCTCAAAAGAGACAAAAAGTTGGGGGGCTGGAGAAATGGCCCACAGGGTGAAGACATTTGCCAACAAGCAGCTTAAGCTGAGTCAGATCGGTGGAGCCCACAAGGCGGAAGGAGAGAACTGACTCCATAAATTGCACTCTGACCTCCACGTGCATGCCATGGTATGTGGACACACACACACACAAATAGTTAAATGTAGTTGTTTTATTTTATTTATTTATTTATTTATTTATTTTTAAAGGGGGAGTGAGTACAGTCTCTGAAGAATGAATGTGTGTGCACAATCAGGGCTGGGCCTTGAGCCACATCTCCATTTTGTTTGTTTGTTTTAGTTGAGGCAGGCTCAGACTTAATTGCCCAGCCTGAAAGAAAACAGCCAACCTACGAGTGCGGTGGCGTACCTCTTAAATCCCAGCACTTTGGAGGCAGAGGCAGGCAGATCTTTCTGAATTTGAGACCAGCTGGCCTACATATCACTTCCAGGAGAACCAGGGCTCCATAGACCCTGTATCCAAATAGTAATAATAATATTAGAAAAAATAAAACAAACAAGTAAAGAAATAAATAGCCTGGACTCAGCCTCAGTGTTCCAAACCAGTGCTGGAATTACAGGCCTTATGCTCCTAGGTTTGGCTCTAAGAAGAAGCACCCGCTGGATGAGAGTTAGGCTGCTGAACTGAACAGAGTCTCTGCAGCTGCCTGTGCGAATCCACCTCAGCCAAGTCCTCCTTCTCGGCCTCCCGGCTCTGCTCCGCAGGGGACCAGGTGGCTGGGGTTTAGGAGGAGGGATAAGGAAAGCTGTCGGCCCGGTGGGGGTGGGGCAGGGGCTGTGTGGGTGACGCCACAGGCTCCTGAGAGGATCAGCATGGCCTCCCAGCCTCGGAGCGTGCTCATCTCTGGCTGTTCTTCAGGGATAGGCCTTGAACTCGCTCTTCAGCTGGCTCATGACCCCAGACAACGTTACCAGGGTAAGGACTAGAAGCTTCCTAGGGCCCACAGCCTCTAGCACTCTCCTGGTGTAGGTTGGATACATGATGCCTGGGGAAGACCCTGGACACATAGAGGGAAGCTCTCTATTGCCCTACCGTAGGTAATTCTCTCATCTTATATATATTTCCTTTTTTTCCCTAAGATTTATTTATTTTTATTTTATGAGTGTGGGTGTTTTGCCAGCATGTGTATCTGTGTAATACTTCTGTACCTGGTGCTAAAGGATGTCAGAGAGATTGTCAGATCCCCTGGAACTGGGTTTACAAACAGCTGTGAGCCACCCCGTGGATGCTAAGAACGGAACCCGTCCTCAGGAAGAGCAGCCAATGCTCCCAAGCCATCTCGCCAACCCCTCATATGTATTACTTGAGTACTAGATGGCAGATGAGAAAATGTTATGAACAAGAACAGGGTGTGTGTGTGTGCGTGTGGATGTAGAGTAATTGACACTATGCTTGCCTAGCATGCACAAATCCCTGGGGTCTAGGCCCCGTTGTTGCCCTTGCCTGTAATCCCAGTACTCAAGATGTAGCCAGAAGGGTCAGGAGTTCAAGGTCAGCCTCAGCCTTAGAGCAAATTCAAGACAAACCTGTGTTACATGAGACCCAGTCAAGAAGAAGAAGAAGAAGAAGAAGAAGAAGAAGGAGAGGAGGAAGAAGATTAGCCCCAAACCAGGCTATGACAGGGCACATCTGAAATTCTGCTATTCAAGAGGTTGAGGCAGGAGGATTCTGAATTCAAGGTAAGCCTAGGCCATATAGTGATGCCTGTCTCAAAATAAAATAGGCAAGCAAAGAAAACACCTTCAGCTCTGGTTGGTGTACAGAGGCAGAGGCAGGCAGATCTGTGTGAGTTCGAGGCCAGCCTGGTCTACAGAGCAAGTTCCAGGACAGCCAGGGCTACACAGAGACACCCTGTATCCAAGCAAGCAAACGAACGAACAGACAAAAAAGATAGATAGAATGAAAGAAGAGAAAAGAAAAGAAAAAGACTTTCAGGCTGGGAGTGAAATGGTAGTACATGTTTGTAATCCTAGCATTCCGGAGCAGAGGCAAGAGGATCATGGTACATTCAAGGCCACCCGAGGCTATATAACCAAATCTTGTTTCAAAAAAGAAAGGAAGGAAGGGAGGGAGGGAGGGAGGGAGGGAGGGAGGAAGGAAGGAAGGAAGGAAGGAAGGGGAGGGACCGAGCATGCCCAATGGTAATAAATGTTAAAGTAATAAAGCAAGGAGTGTGGGGCTGAGTGTGGTGGCACAAACCTATAATCCCAGATCTCGGGAGGCAGAGGCAGGTGGATCTCTGGGTTTGAGGCCGGGGCTACATAACAAGAACCTGTCTCAAAAAAAGAAAGAATGGAAGCTGGAGGGACAATTAAATGATTAAGAGCAGGATCCGAATTCAATTTCCAGCACCCACGTGGCGGCTCACAACCATCCAGGACCCCAGTTCCAGAGCATCCAACAGGCACACAACACCCATACACACAGAGTAAATAAATATACCCTGAGGTGTGGGAGTGTGGGGTGTGGGGAGGATCTGTCCCAGAAAGCATCTCAGAGGAGGCTGGCTCCAGCACCCCTCAGGCTGCTCACTGACAATGCCCCCACTAAGCTGATTACAGCTCCAAGATGACAGGCTTACTGCCTTGCCTTGCCTCACACCTGACCTTGGGGCCTTAAAGGAGCCTTTAGCTACTGCAGCTGTGCAGCTCG